TTATCGAGAAAATTGCTGATAAGATTAAAAATATCTTAAATATAAATTCGACTATAACTTCTAAACTATTGCGAATTTTGCAGTTTTCTCGACGCCAATCGACTCCCCGAAACATTTTACATATGCATAGTTTAAAACATTATTCATTTTGAATAGAGTCCTATTCAAAATTTACAAAATTAAAAAATGGAAAAAATTTAAACAAAAAATTTGTAATTCTTCAAACCAACGTTTTATGCATTTTTTGAGTCTTTAGAATCTCTAGAAATGTAGACAATTTTAAGGTTAAACATTTTTTTGATTTTTGCCGAAATTTTGAACGAATTTTGGGAGAATCTATCGTCAATATCTCCGAAATTATTAACAATTATCATTGTTATACTATAAAAAAATCAATTTTTCTTCAAAAAATTTGCGCCTTGAACGGCTAAATGTGTTATTTTTTCGATTTCTTCTTGCAGGTTTTTGTACAAATAAATTGCCATTTCAAATTTTTGATGGAATTTCAGACTGGGCTCTAATTTAATAACATTTCAGGGGTGTCTGTTCGGTTCTCCCTTCTCTTCCACTTGCTACCAGCAATATCAGGAGCATTACAAGTCCACTCCACCAACCGGTAAGCACAATTTGCGAACTTGAAATAATTTTTATTCGTTGTTTGTTTAACCTCTCTGCGATGATGACGAGCAGCGTAAATTTTTAATCAGCTCTTTGCCATTAAAACTCACTTAATATCGAGACAATAGCAACAACCTGAAATCTAGCCTGTTTCAGGCGTATTCCCTACAGACTGGAGAGAGCCCTGGCATCAAGAAGGTAAGTAATACTACTTACTTCATAATTAATGTCGTAAATGTGAGCGTTTAACCCTCTGTACTGTATAAAACGCCCCGTCAGGACGAGTTGTATATTCCCCATCTCGTTCTGCTGTTGCAAATTAATGGACTTGTGAGAAGGAAGGGCAAATGCTAGCCAGACTTAACAAAGCTTTCACCTGTTGTTGGCTCATTAATGATGCAAGGCGTTAAATGGACTTATTCCACTGAGAGTAGCCTGGGCTCGAATATGATGCACACAAAGGGGATGGTTTTGTGCCAAACTTGCCAATTTGCCCAAATGGCAAAGTTTTATTTGATTTAATTCACTAAAATGGAAATCAAAAATTACTTCAAAAAAAGGATAAAAGTTTTGCGCTTTAGAATATCAATAAGGGCAATAAAATTTCAATTATCCGTAAAAGATCCAAAAAATAAATGTCAATGTTAACAAAAAAAATCTTTTCAGAATCAACGACGCTATGTCAAGTAGAATTTTTAAAGTTTTTGATATTATAAAGAGTTATTTATTTGGTCAATAACACTAATTTCAGTATTCTACACCTTTTTCAAGTGTAATTCAAAAACCATCACATGTAATTCAGATTAGTCAATTTACACCTTTTTCAAGTGTAATTCAGAAACCATCACATGTAATTCAGATTAGTTAATTTAGTTTCAGAAAGCGTAAATTGTAATTTAGATTAGTCAATTGTCTTTCAGAAAGTGTTAATTGTAATTCAGAAAAGTAAAATGAGTTTCAGAAAGCATAAGATGTAATTCAGYTTAGTTAAATTAATTCCAGAAACCATAAATTGGAATTCAGATTAATCAATTGTATTTCAGAAAGTATTAATTGTAATTTAGAAACTATTACATACATGTAATTCAGAACAGTAAATTCAATTTCATGTTACATGTAATCCAGAAAAATATTAATAGCAATTCAGATGAGTAACTTACTGTTATCTGAAAATAAAGTTTACACATAAACATGAATTATTTTATTTTCAAAACTACAAGATTTACATAAACTTGGTATTTTACAAAATAAATAAGATATTCTATTTTTAAAGGGATTTTGATAGTGTAATTTTTAAATGAAAATAAGGAAATCTGGATTACAATTGACAAATTCTCAATTACAAATGACAAACTCTGAATTATAATTAACACTTTCTGAAATACAAATGACTAATCTGAATTCCAATTTACGCTTTCTGAAATTAAATTAACTAATCTGAATTATATCTGCTAGTTTCTGAAATTCATTTTACTGTTTTCAATTACAATTAACACTTTCTGAAATACAATGGACTAATCTGAATTACAATTAACGTTTTCTGAAACATATCTTACGCTTTCTGAATTACACTTGAAAAAGGTGTAGTTGCAGAAAGCGTAAATTGAAATTTGGATTAGTCAATTGTCTTTCAGAAAGTGTTAATTGTAATTCAGAAGAGTAAAATGAGTTTTAAAAACCATGAGATGTAATTCAGATTAGTTAATTTAATTTCAGAAACCATAAATTGGAATTCAGATTAGTCAATTGTATTTCATAAAGTAATAATTGTAATTCAGAAACCATTACATGTAATTCAGATCAGTAAATAAATTCAATTTCATGTTACATGTAATCCAGAAAATATCAATTACTGTTATCTCAAAATGAAGTTTACACATAAACACGAATTATGTTATTTTCAGAATTAAAGATTTACATAAATTTGGTATTTTACAAAATAAATAAGATATTTTATTTTCAAAGGAATTTTGGTAATGTAATTTTTAAATGCAAATAACGAATTTTGAATTACAATTGACGAATTTTCAATTACAAATGACAAACGCTGAATTATAACTAACACTTTCTAAAATACAATTGACTAATCTGAATTTCAATTTACGCTTTCTGAAGTTAAATTAATTATTCTGAATTACATCTGATGGTTTCTGAAATTCAGTTTACGGTTCTGAATTACAATTAATACTTTCTGAAATACAATTGACTGATCTAATTACAATTAAGGTTTTCTGAAATATATCTTACTCTGCCTGAATTACACTTGAAAAAGGTGTAGTAAGATTTTTTTAGGTAATGTTTTTATTATTGACAAACAAAAAGCAGTACCTAATTAATAAAATATCCTCCTAATTTGTATCTTTCACTTTAAAAAAATTATAAAAAATTCTTCAGGCTTTCAGGGTTTGCGCAATCCTTAATATAACAAAAAAATGTTGCTTTTTTAAGAAAATAATTTAATGTTTGAAAAAAGGGAAATAAAAAAAACTTAATTTTAATTAGTTTATTAATTCAAGTTAATTAAATTTTATACACAAGTGACCACTTTTATGATTAAATTTCACAATTAACACCTTTCTACTGTGTAGTATAAATTCTATTTTTGCGCCTAAGCATTTTTACTTTTACCAGTGTTGTTTTTTTTTGGGTTTTTTCGCTGCTTCGGCTATTACTAAAGAAATACACAAATTTCAATATTGATGTTATCATTTCATTACTTATAAAGCGTCCTCATTATTTTGTTCATTTACTTTCTAATTAAAATGCTGCTCTTTACTCTCGATTTGAATACGTTTGCGAAGAAAATAGTACATGTTATTCTATTATCTTTACATATGTATATAAGTTTTTTTGAACCAGTTCTCAGTTTTTTTGTACTTTCTATACGATTTTATATGCTGTTGAAGAGTAAAATTTGTTTTTAATGGATAAAACCGTTGCTTTTTTATTTTTTTTATTTTTATTTAATTTTTTTATTAGTGTTATTTTTTGATGTAGAATATGTGGGTGTAATTTTTTGCAATATTAAGAAAAAACCTTGTATAATAACATTTCTGTTGAGAAATTAACGTTATATTAATTATTTTTTTAATGACAAGAGATCTTCTTTCTTGGTGCTTTTTTTTTCTTTGACATTAATATTTTATTAGTATTATTATGTTTTAGGTTTACAAAATTTTTATCAATTAAAACATGGGGAAAATATGTTTTGAACAATCATTTAATTATGTAAATTTATTTTTTTAATTTCCTTAAAAAAAGAATCCATTGACTACCAAACCGAATTTTTTGTAATTTTTTCTATTTAAAATATTTCAATAATTTGTTTCTTTCCGAAAATTAGATTTCTTCAAAGAAATTCATTAGTCCAGGAGCTAGTAATTCTTTTGATTAATTTCCCCAAATCAAAAATCGATAGTGTATTTCAGATAATGAAGCTAATTAAGAAATTTAAGAAATTAAATGAGTTAAACTTATTTTTTTCAGTATGAAACTTTTCGATTTACTAAACTTACATTAAAAGCAATTTGCAAATTTTCAGGACTACCAAAATAAAATCAATAATTTTTTACTCTAGTACACGGTTTGTTAGTATAATCCTAGCTAGAACCAATTTCATTACTGAAAAAAAGTGGAACCCATTTGTTTTTTAAACATTTTTTGAGTCAACATACGGAAAATCCTTATTTACAATATGAGATTTTTAAAAATTCTATTTGACACAATAACAGTTTATTTTGTTCCAGGTAATAGCTGTGAAACCGACGATAGCGAGCAGTATGTGTCAGATTCGGATTTTCAGCAGCAGAATAGCAATCGTAAGATTTGAGTTATTAATATATTTTTTTTAATTTTGATGTTTTAACGAACACAGATCTTTGTATAAAAAATATTTAAAAAAGGGGGTGTTATCCGAGCCTCGAGTCATAATTTTTAATCAAGCTTATTGGAACGCACCCCTCCCTGATATCAGTCAATATGTAAGTTTGTTTGTTGAAGATTTAAAAATTATCGGATTTACTTGCCGCCCACGGCATTTCTTTATCCGCGTTATTACTTTAACTAAAAACGTAACTTTTTATATTAAAGCAGACAATAAATTCGTTCATGAGCGTATGTCGTTGAATACGTTGGCTGCAGTAATCGGAGGACATGCTGAGTTTAGAGATCAACCTGTCGTGAGTTCTTTCAGCAGCCAAACATCCATTTAGTTTTGTATATTCTCAACTTAAAGCACCGCGGGGTTCACCCTCTTTAGCCTGTCATTTCTCTCTCTAAACTGAAGCTCAGCTATTGCAAAAATCTTATTATTAACACACCGCAATTTTTAGAGATAAAACCGGAAAATAACATGTCGGATCTGGTACAAAACRTGAACAAASCTCCCACATATCCTAGTTCGTATTCAGGGAGCGAAAATTTCGAAGGAGTGTACGCTCCTGCTTACCAACACAGCGGATGTTTTTACTCTAATCCCATCTACAATAGGTAAAGGTGGTAAAATAATCAATGTCAGGGAATAAATATTGATCCTAGGTCCACATCGCCGGTGGTTCCCAGAGGCAATGAACACATTCCCAGCAACTTGCA